CGTAGTCGTAGTCGTAGGAGGAGGAGCAGCAGCAGTTGCTGTTGTAGTAGTGCTAGGAGGAGGTGGAGCAAGAGGAGGTGAGAGGAGGCAAAAGTAGAAGTAGACCTAGAAGTAGAAGCAGGATTATGTTAGCAGCAGCAGCAGCAGCAGCAGCAGCAGCAGTGGCGGTAGAAATAGTGGCTGTTGCTGCAGTTGCTGTAGACAGTATTGCTCATCACATCCGTATTTATCGGCATTATCGTCAACATCATGATGAGCAACGGCATAATCGGCATCACCATCACTTCCATCGTCGCATGATGTATGTTCTCTTCCATGGCAAGCATATCAGCAGGGCAGAGGGGCCGCGCTGAGAATTGTGACAGTATCGGTAGGGCACTGTTGACGGTGATGATACAGGGTTCGGAAATGTACTGTTTGAGTGCGACAAGGCGAGGTACCGGCGCATGCTTTGTGTCTTGGCCGCTGTATTTGTGGCCCCACAGACTCAACAGCGGAAAGGGTAGGTGGCACCGGCCACGGAGAGGAGGCCAAGAATTCAATACAGCCGCAGTGCTGGCCTCAGAGAGTGCTGCTTCTAAAGCGTGAAAAGTTTGGATGGAACCTGTGGGGTCCCCATTCCAGCATCAGACGTGCTTTAGGAGTGCTGTCACAGTCCTTGACCTCTGATCGTCCACATTCAGTGGTCAACCTTGACATGGACTAGGAAACGTCGGCGGTACAGTTCTCTAGCACGGGCTCGTTGAGCAAATTGAACTGTCCATGATTTGTTACAGTATCGAACTGCAAGGATGGGCGCGGACGGATCTGTGGTTGTACTGCCAACACAGATGTCTCTACTGGTCATTGAAATTGTATGCCAAATCTTTAGCCCGGCCAAGTCCTCAACTGCAAACCACAGATCTGAGCATGAGTTCGATAATCGGCCTCGGCCTCAAACCCTGGCTACAGGCCGCCGGCCACTGACCGCTTGCTGTGCTCAGGTCATGGCTGAAAAGCCACCCGAGGACCCGAAGTGAGTCAGTTAGAGCCGCCAGAGAGTCCCACATATGAGAAAAACAAAAAGAGAGTGCAGAGGACGTAGACTGCTTGCCTCCTGGCTTGCCTCGGAAGAGCTGAAGCGCGCGCCAGAGAAAGCACCACCCCCCCAAGTGTCCCGATGGCAGGAGGAGAAGCCGGCGGAGACGTACCCGATCATGGCTCTAGCTCAGAAAAGGCCCGCGAAGGGGGCTGAGCTCATGCTTCAAAGCGCCTTGAGATGATCGTCCGCACCTGCGCGCCGCGCTCCGGCGGAAGGACCATGCTCATGGGCGAAAACTGCCCGGATCGCTTGGCACTTGGCTCTCGTCAACTTCATGTCGTGCTGGTTTACTCGCACGCCAGATTATGTCGGGCTTTGTCGGGCGGGCTCCTTGTTTCCGATGTTGGTTTCGCAAAGGCCGCAACATCTTTCTGGCTTGCAGCATGTCTTGAGACTTTCTTTCTCGATTGAGTAGCAGACATTACGACTCTGTGTGTGAGGAAGCACTCAGCAAGCTCTGATCCATCGACCAAGGTGAGCGAATTCGCTCGGAGATTCTGGCGACTGTGCGTGAGAAAGGCGCCTTGAGCGAGCATGTTCCGAAATTAGGATCTTTGCTTGTAAAGCTTGCGGATTAGGGACCTCTGCACATTTCGCTAGATGAATTTCATTACTTTGGCAAGGGATGTTTCAAGTTTTCACGCATCGTCGGCGCAAAGCCGTCAGCTTTTCCGTCAGCTTCCGCAAACCGAAACCCGGTTCCGACGAGTTCTTCAGAGCTGCTTATTCATGACTTGCACGTCCAGAATTACTAGGAAGATGCATACGGTCTCCGATAAGCTACTCCAAACAACACAGCCAGTACCGACAGTAATTCTGATAATGAGAGCGATGAAAGATGAGTCTTGATGAAGCTGTTGCTGGCGCTACTCTCGCTACTGCCACAGTCGCGAGTGGAAACAGTCTTTGCCTGTGGCTGGATGTGTTGCAGGAATGCTCCCCTACTATGAGAAGTACCTGTGCCAGCGCCCGAGATCTGATTGTCTGCGCAATTGCGCTTCGTGTGCTTTCAGTGTTGAGGGGTCGAGGGTCAAGTGGTCCTAGCGTGACAGGGTTTGCTTGGGGCTTAGTGCGGCGTTGAGTTCATGAGTCTTTCAGTTGTTCATTATGGCTACTGGTTGTGTTGTGTTGGGTAGGGTGTTGGGTTTCGTGTGGTTCAGTGGCATAGGACTTTGCATGCAACTGAGGGTTTGGATTCAGACTGTTGTGGTTTTACCGGATTTGTTTTAAATACGGCTTCCCAGTTCTAGTTCGACTCCCCAAACCGCATTCAGCAACAACGGCTCAAGCTCGAACCTCGCTTCTGCTTGTACCGTGTGCCTCAACACAGAAAGCCACCCCCACAAGGAGCAACAGGTTAGGGTAGGTAAGGCACGGTCATCGCATGCATACACCTTAGGATCTCATGTGCAACCGAAGCCCACCCTGGAAGCTTGAAGGTCGAAGCTCGCTGACCCGCTCTAAGCTTTGTTTTCCCTGAGAACCTCACAGCTCTGCACTTGGAACGGAAACCAGGAACCAGGAATGAACTGCCGGATTCAACTACACCCTGAGGCCCCGTCGGAAACTGGAAGACACTGTAAACCCTCAGTCATTTAGTGAGGATAATGGGGTGGATGGGGGGCGTCGGCAAAGCGACTCGAGCGTGCAGCCATGCTTGTAGTACCCGCGAGCTAGCCTTCTACAAAGTCCTGCAGCACCTAAACCCCTAGGCCCTAAAGCGCATGGCCTTTCATGGTGGTGCATCCCATGAAAGCGGCCCTCAACAACAAGGTCCAGGAGTCGTGGGGCCGCCGGATGAGAGCCTCAAGGCAATGTGTCGTTCCGGGGTTTGGGATTTGGGGTCTAGGTGAATGAAGTAGTTGGCGATCTCTACTGGGGTATCTCACTGTCTTGAATCAGTGAAGTGTCTTCTTTTTGGGAGCTTCATGTTTGAAACACCGGATCCATTGGTAGCAAGTTTGGCTTTAAGGTTTTGGGCTTGTGGAGCTTGAGGAATGCAGGCTTGGTGGGGCACAGGGATGACGACAAGCGCTCGAGGTTCGGGTTTTGACTTTGAAGGTTCTTGGGGCTTGGACGTCCACAGAGGCCACGTTGGAACCCGGAAAGCCCGAAGAATCGCTTCCAAAATCCTTGAGTCCTAGACGAGAGAACGGACAAGAACTAGGGCAGAACACAGAACTCGACACTCCTAAAGGACGCTTGGACGTTTGGGGCTCTAGACATTTTTGCTTCGAAGGTTGAGGTTGGAGTTTAGTGTACAGATTGCAGCCACCTACACTGTTTCCGTCCCAAGCATCTTCTCTCACTTTGGCAGGCTCAACTGCAGAAACAAAATGAAGAGGAGCAGGCTCTGCGCATGGCCTTCCGGTTCGCAGGGCATCCTTTCGGGGTCAGTCCAATGACGATGTTGATGGGGGTTGCTTTTTCAATTCGGCAGCAGCCGCTGCGGCTGTTGGACTTGGTGTTGGTTGGTGGGTGAAGTTGTGGTTGTGGTCGTGGCAGTGGCTCTGGTTGATTGTTGTTGGAGGTGGTTGTTGTTGTGGTCGTCGTCATGATCGTGGCTGGTTGTGATTGTGTTTGTGGTTGTGGTGGTGGCTGTGGTTGTGGTCGTGGTTGTGTTTGTTGTGGTTGTGGTTGTTGTGGTTATTGTGATGGTTGTGGTTGTGGTTGTGGTGGTTGTGGTGGTTGTGGTTGTTGGAGTCGTTGTGGTCGTTGTGGTCGTTGTGGTTGTGGTTGTGGTTGCGGTTGCGGTTGTGGTTGTGGTTGGTTGGTTGAACGGTTGCTTGGTTGTATGGTTGCATGGTTGCTTGCTTGCTTACTTGCTTGGTTGCTTGGTTGGTCTTTTGGTTGCTTGATTCGGTGGTTGTTTGGTGTCGTTGCTGCGGCAGCGGCAGCAACGGCAACAGCAACCGCGACCGCAACCCGCGACAGCAACAGCCACAGCAACAGCAGCCGACGACAACAACAGGACATGTTTTCGGTTCACAGCGAAGGGCTTTCAAGCATCCAGATCATGTCGATAGCTACCGATTGCCCTTCCAGTACTGTTGGATGTAGCATGGTGACCGTCGACTTCCCAGGCAACTCTCGAAGAGAAGATTAAGGACGCCAAGGAAAATCTTGGTGACATCGAGCCCGCTCCACAGATGCCTCTGAGTGCTGGAAAGACTTGTGTGTGTATAAGACCAACCTCAGGATAGATCCATACCTTTATCTATAATGCTTGGTGCTACAGAGTCTAGTAGACTTGAGAGTGATGTCTGCGGTCGGGGCTTTTGGGGGTGAGTTACGGCCCTGGGAGCCACTTTTGGCTGCGTTTGAAATTCCGGAGGCCCGAGGTAGCCACGTACCAGTGCACGAAGTATCCAGAATCATGTTACACAGAACCACGAGACCAATGCCAGCAACAGCAATATCTTGTGCATCAATCCCAAGTCCCTTGGTGCGATGAGCTCTACGAGATTGGGCTGGTTTCCTCTAGCAAGGATTCGTGATGCGCTCCTCGCCAAAGCGACCTTCTTCAATCGGATCGGAGACAAGGCCCGGCGTGGCGAACACCGCAACCAAATTGCCAAGTACTGAATGCGAATTAGCCGTTTGTTCGCCTCTTGGCAGTCCGCCTTTCGCCAGAAGTTTCAGAAGCCAGAACTCGGACCCTGTCCAGAGTGCAGTCCGATGCCCGCAGCAGATGGAAGCAGTATCACTCCAACGCTGCCAGGGCAGTCCAGTTCGCCGTTCATTCCTCACCGTTGTCTTGCCCTAAACATCGCACCCTTCGGAAAGAGACAGCAGCACGTGTCAGTGCTTGCCATCCCCACATCCGTCGTGCACAGGAGCAGGCCATCAAAGGCTACGAGGACCGGATTTTCGGATTTTTTCGATGGCAATCACGACAGTGTACTTAGGTGGTCAGTTCAATGGGGGTGGCGCAGGGTTTGTGCCCTGCTGGTTCGGGCATTATTGCCAGAGGGCATCGTCAGAAGATGTCCTTTTTGGGCCTCTGAGCTTGGGCTGCCCAGAGTCATGTTGGCAGCAGCTCTCGTCGCAGGAAGCATTTGCGAAAACAGTGGGCGTCGGCGCGAAGCTGGACAACATCCTCACTGCATCTAGATTGCACCTTGTTGCGTCTCGCGGATGCTGTTGTCGGAGGTGTAGGTTGGGACGAATATAGGGGCCATTAAGGGCATTGGGATTTGGATTCAACGAACGTAGAAAAAAAGACTGCTTTGCGAAAACCATCACTTTTGCGCAAAGCACAGTTGGACGGATAGCTCCGCGCTTGGTTTCAGGATCTAACGGGCTAAATCCGAAGCCTTCACGAGCTCAGGTCATCCGAATTGCCTTTTTCTTTGACGACACGGCCTGGACCCTGTCTCCCCGTGCGTGCAGAGATGGCGGCATGCCGAGCCTTCTCTTTGAGGCGCTGATGAAGAAGCACATCGATCGTGCCAAGACAGAGCTGGGCAAGGGAGGCAGAGCTGCAGCCAGGGTGCTGATGCAAGTTGCCGGGGAAGTTCCGTCGAACTGCTGATGGAGGGTCATAAAGGCGGTCGTCCGCGGTCGTCTCTAGGAGAAGCAGGTGTACGGCAGGAAAGTGCAGCTGGACATAAGACTACGCAGAGCCGGATAGCCGTGCACAGAGCCTAGCCTTGCCTGCGCTTGCAGTCTGCGGATAGGTGATTGGGAGAGGCGGAACAAGCTCAAGGCCGGAGTCTCAGCAGCGCTTCTTTGTGACTGCCTCTATCCTGGGAAAGCTCCCGGAGCCGAAGTGCCAAGTGGGGAAAGCCGGGTGAGTGGAGGTCTACGAGGGCATCTACCTGATGATCTCCAGGAGCTGGAAGGAGGCAGATCCATCAGGGATCTCGATGCCGGTGTGGGAGGCTTGACGAAGGTGGGGTCAGGCTTCAAGAACTCCCGGAAAGGAGTGTCTCTCGCCTAAGGCCTATAAGGTGTGGCATTGATCTGGCGGAAATTACGGTTAAAGTCGGAGAGGATCTGAACTTCGGGGAACTTCGGGCAGACCTTGGGGTCCAAGTTTCAGAGTTCGGGGGTTCAGTGCAGTGCATGTTTCGGGTTGTTTGGGTGCGCCGTTCAGCAAACGAGCTCAGGCCTTTGGCCACTTTTAATCTATTTGGGTTGGAAGGAGGATACAAGAGCTATTGTGTTCAGAATCTCAGGCTTCGTCCCGTCCCCAGAAAATCGCGTACAGATAGGTTGTTATTCACTGATGCAATCCACGCAGTCTACTGTAGGAACAGTTCTTGAGCCTTGGACGAGGTGTGGAACTCTCGAAGTCTCAAGCGCTCGGTGGGAGAAGCGTTGCACGTACGAAGGCTGCAAAGCTCTTCCTGAACGTTATGCCCACGTTCACCGCCACAGAACTGGTGGAATTCAAGGACTGCCGTTGCGAAAGGATTAGGGGATTAGGGCTGAGGAGGGATACCGAATCTGCATCGAGAGTCAGTGCCTCATGGCCTGGACACTAGAGCCGAGAAAGTAATTCTTTCTCCAGATCAAGCAAGATGCCGACGTCCCACTCAGCCAGACTTGAACAAGCATGGCCTGATGGCCGAAGCAAAGCCTTTTTTGGAAGTGCGCTTAATTAAACAGAGCAGAGTGATTGGCAGAAGCTCCACTGGCCGTGCTTTCCAAGAGCAGATTCAGAAATCTTCCCAAAGAGCCCTGCATGGAACTCGGTTTCCGGTCAAGTTGTACTTCAAACAGGAACTCCCAAGCAGTAACATTGTCAGGACTTCGTCTTCTATGCTGTCATAGTCGCCATGGTCCGGGTCTCGTAGTTTGGCGAGCTCCAAGCGGCCCCATGCCCCGAACCCTTCGATGCTAGGAATGTCGCTTGTAATCTCTTCTGCAAAGCTCCAACCGACTAGATCGTCGGGCAACCGGCAGCCCACATAGCTTCTGTATGATATGTATGTCGATATCTGCAAACGTTCATCCTACGCTGGCAGCCGCACTGGAGCCAAAGCCACCCACCCCTTGATGCTGAACCCTGGTGGCCCTGGTGATAGTGAGGTGTCGATGGATCGGCCCACTGTGAGAAACCAGCTGGTTAGCAGTCCGGAGGCCCGACCTGACAATCCAGCTGAAATTTGTGGCGCTAGCAGTCTTGGTGGTGGTGGTGGTGGTCGTGGTCGAGATCGTTGTCGTTGGCGTGGCGATCGTGTGGTCGCGGTCGTAGTCGTCGTCGTCGTAGTAGTAGTAGAAGTAGGCGCCCCCCCCCCCCCCTCCTACCAACTACCTCTGCTGCCAACCNNCAACCCTCTTAAGAGCACGTTCGTTGTACTCGGTATTTACGGTACGTTCGTCCTGTCACGCCACCTTCTTCTTGTCTCAAAATCCACTCCGCGACTTTGATAAGTTCGGCTTCGGATTTGGGGGGGTGGTGGGAGGGGGGGTTGGGGGGATGATGACGACATGGGTACACAGACACCCCGAACAATATCTGTACAAGAGCCGTTCTACTCGGTATTTACAGTATTTCGTGTTGGCGGACCATCTTATTTTATTATATGATCATGGTTGATGATGGTGATGATGATGATGCATGATGAAGGATCATGAAGGATGATGATGATCGATGATGGTGGTGGCGCCAGGTGGTTGGTAGGGGGCGG